TTTTCAGACATTTTGTATTGGAAGCCAATTAATAATAGGTGTTAATAAGAACTTCGACTATTTAAGGATTTATAACAGAGAGACGCCTTTACATTACTGAGTTTTATTTACGCAAGATGTGACACTTTTAATTTTAGGAGTTAATGTAAAGTCGCCTCATATAAACAATAACATGTAATTATTTAAATATAAGGAATAATTGAATCTAAAACTATAGGTAATGAATTAAATGCGTCTGGTGATAAATTAGCTATTGATATGCTGCTACCACTAAAAGCTATTTATTATGAATGTATGAGTGATTTTTTTTTTAAAGACGATTCTCTGCATCAAGAGGAATATTTGCTTTTTACAACTGTATGTGTGCACTTCGTGGAGTCCATGAGCTGGGGCTGATCCGTGCTTGACTCTTCGTGGCTTAACATTGGGAACAGAAATAATATATATACATATCGTCCTCTGACATGAGCACTGTACGACAGACTCTTGGTTAACAAAGCTACAGCAATGCAAAAGAAGCGTCAGTAACCAGCCTGTTCACACGCACCTATGAACATTCAGAAGCTAAAGCAGATAATATGACACTATCTCAACAACGCTGAGGGAGGAGGAACAGCCCGCTCAATACAGGTCCTGGGGGGGGTGGGGTGGCCCTGCTTATTAACAACACTCTATACGATGTTATCCTTCAGTGCTCCGGCAGAGGGTGGGTTCAACTTGCTTATCCGATACTTCTATATAACCAAACGCTCTTCAAAAGCTTTCGGATTCACCAAAAAAAAAAAAAGAATCAATAAATATAAAATAAATAATAAAATAAGGGATTTTTTTTTTTTGGGGGTCTGGTAAAAGAATATTCTCAGTAACAAAAGACAAACATTTGGGGAAGTGGGGAGGTGGGGGTTAGGGGGTGGGGGTCTGTTTATATGAGGAAGGTTCGTTTAGCTGTCGAGGTTGAAGAGGTTTCCTGGGGCGTTCTCATCAAGGTGAGGTCAACCTGGGCACGGATCTTCTTGATGCTCTATATCACTCTCACCACTCATATTAACACCTGGTCACTGTCACCATGCTCATATTAACACCTGGTCAGTCACCACGCTCATAACACCTGGTCACTGTCACCACGCTAATATTAACACCTGGTCACAGTCACCATGCTCATATTAACACCTGGTCACAGTCACCACGCTCATATTAACACCTGGTCACGTCACCACGCTCATATTAACACCTGGTCACAGTCACCACGAGCATATTAACACCTGGTTACTGTCACCACGCTCATATTAACACCTGGTCACTGTCACCACGCTCATATTAACACCTGGTCACAGTCACCACGCTCATATTTACACCTGATCACAGTCACCATGCTCATATTAACACCTGGTCACTGTCACCTCGCTCATACTAACACCTCACAGTCACCACGCTCATATTAACAGTCACGCTCATATTTACACCTGGTCACTGTCACCACGCTCACAACATCATTAACACCTGGTCACAGTCACCACGCTCATATTTACACCTGATCACAGTCATCATATTAACACCTGGTCACACCATATTAACACCTGGTCACGTCACCACCGCTCATATTAACACCTGGTCACAGTCACCACGCTCATATTAACACCTGGTCACTGTCACCACGCTCATATTAACACCTGGTCACAGTCACCACGCTCATATTAACACCTGGTCACTGTCACCTCGCTCATACTAACACCTGGTCACAGTCACCACGCTCATATTAACACCTGGTCACTGTCACCTCGCTCATACTAACACCTGGTCACAGTCACCACGCTCATATTTACACCTGATCACAGTCACCATGCTCATATTAACACCTGGTCACAGTCACCACGCTCATATTAACACTGGTCATGCTCATATTAACACCTGGTCACAGTCACCACGCTCATATTAACACCTCACAGTCACCACGCTCATATTTACACTGTCACAGTCACCATGCTCATATTAACACCTGGTCACAGTCACCACGCTCATATTAACACCTGGTCACCTACGCTCATATTAACATCACACAGTCATCCAGTCGCTCATATTAACACCTGGTCACAGTCACCACGCTCATATTAACACCTGGTCACTATCACCTCGCTCATACTAACACCTGGTCACAGTCACCACGCTCATATTAACACCTGGTCACTATCACCACGCTCATATTAACACCTGGTCACAGTCACCTCGAGCATATTAACACCTGGTCACTATTCTCAGGCACTTACATAAATAATATATCAACCTATTGACAATAATAAAAATGATAATAATAATACTGTAATAGTAATGTTACTACAGATAATAACAATAACAATAACAATAACAATAATAACAATAACAATAACAATAATAATAATAATAATAATAATAATAATAATAATAATAATAATAATAATAATAATAATAATAATAATAATAATAATAATAATAATAATAATAATAATAATAAATAATAATAATAATTAATAATAATCTTCTAGCCAACATAATAATTTTCTCCTTCTGATGACCTCGCCAATCCTAGTCATGACACTGATGGCAGTAGGCCACTAACTAATGGTCTTGTGTCATTCGTCCGCATGTATCAAGGGTGGGGGGGGTGACGTAGGTCTGTGGCAGCCTAATATTATACAACTTAGAGGACCGAATCCTGGTGTTGTGGGGGTGGAGGAGTTAATGGCGTCATGCATGGAATTTATAATATGATTTAGTAAATAATCACAGGACCATTGACGTCATCATCCCATTTTGGGATGACCTTTTATCTGTCCCGGGATAGCTGATGACGTCATAAGTCATATGATACGTACTGACGCCATAATCCATATGATAACACAATGGCGCTGTGATTCACACTGTATGTAATGACACCTCAGGTAACATGATATATAATGTCGCTGTAACTGTAGTTATGCTGAATGATTTTGTTTTTCGTAGGAAGGACGCGATGGTACCTACTATAGAGAAGGTTGACAATCATCCTGGGAGAATAATTTACGTCCTACACCGGTCATGACACGACGTCCTGGGTGGTGGGTCGTAAAATCGCATACGGTACACTGGGAGACTTAGGAGAACTAGGCAAACTCACCTACGACTTAACACTTGGAGACAAATCAAACCTACGAACCCCATTTTAAGAGGACAGAGTGGTCGGGGCAACACACTTAAGAAAAACATTGTAAGTTTTTGTTATTCTCTTCCTCATATTTCGTTTGTCGTCTTACATTATTGACGGGATATTTGGTTTAGCCTGAGCTGGTGTCTGGTCGGCCGTAGAGGAACACTCGGGCTTGTACAAAGAAACAACACAAAATAAAACACAAAGCTTGAAAAAATAAACCTAAACCGAGAGAATTTCTCTGAGGAAGAGAAACATCTCGTCCCGACAAAAAAAAAAACCCTCAGAGAATATTCTTCAGCAACCTGATGATGATGATGATGATGATGATGATGATGATGATAAAAGTAATAATAATAATACTAATACTACTACTACTAATAATAATGATAATATTGATGGTAATAATAATAATAATAATAATAATAATAATAATAATAACCAAAGTAATATTAATAATAAGGAACCTGCAGTTTGGAAGCCAAGAGTACTGGATATTGGAGGGTGCACCTTTGACTGCCTTTTACAAGATGGATAGGTGAGAGGGATGACGGGATGAAGTACGGTGATGCAGTTTACGGCAGATGGTCTTGGTGAGTGGGACGTGGGTGGAGGGAAGAAAACATTCACAGACAACCCCAGCTGGGCTTGAGAGCTGTCTCACTTGTGTGGCGGGAGCGAGCGAGAAGGTTAGACGCTGTGTCCTATGACTGGCTAGTGAAGTTGTGTGCCTATCCCTTGATGTTACGTTGAGGGAGGGAGATGCCTACCTACTGACACAGGTCTCTACTGCCTATAGAGTACAGTTGATCAAAAAACTATCTGTACTTGGGGGTGGCCGATGAATTTCAGAATGAACACTGACTCCTGTTGTCTAGTTAGAGTTTCCAAAATTCTTCGTCCGCTGTGTCATAATGTCTATAACACAATTTTGTGAGGATAGTTTTTTGATCGACTGTAACCTGTAATTATAACGCTTCCTACCTCTATACACGGGTCTAAGGAGGCTACTACTCCATTTATCTAGAGTTTTTACTTTTTGATTATGGCTTCTACACACACAATTATATATATATATATATATATATATATATATATATATATATATATATATATATATATATATATATATATATATATATATATATATATATATGTGTGTGTGTGTGTGTGTGTGTGTGTGTGTCTGTCTGTCTGTGTGTCTGTGTTACACTAGATAGGGATAATTGCCGATTAGCGGTAACTTCTGTATTTATTTTTGGTGGAAACATCTGACTGGCCATAAGTGATCATGTAGATTATTACATACATGTACAGGGTAAATGAAAAGTTTTATGCAAAACCTAACTAACCTAACCTGACCTAAACTACTTTTTAAGACTTAAGCGTCAATTTTCCCTATTTAGTGGAATATATATATATATATATATATATATATATATATATATATATATATATATATATATATATATATATATATATATATATATATATATATATATATATATATATATGTTTCTATGTACCTCCAGCAACTCATTATCTCATCACAAGTGAGTGAAAAATAAGCTGCTTTTTGTCTATCTATGATTTCTAGACAGAAGAAGGTGTCCCTGAGCTGTGACTGTCTGGTGAAGACCACCAGGTCTGTGTGGCCCATGTTCCATTATTCTATAGGGAAGGGGAGGGTGTGGGGTCCCTCACGGTTAGCCAAAAACTCCCTGACAATGTGGTGAGAAATGTATACAAGGTGGTGGTAGTGGTAGCAGTCGTGGTAGTTGATGGTGGTGGAGGTGGTGGTGGATGGTTGGTGGTGGTGGTTGGTGGTAACCTGTCGCACCTGACTGGGTCCATCGGATTCAGGACCTTCCCCTGCATTAGATCCTCCAGCGGGGGTCATGGCCGCGGCTCTGCCTGAGTTGGTAGCTGCTGTGAACGACCCCTTCCCCTGTAAAGGCACAACAACACGACCAAACATATTTCTGGGTTCTGTCCTGGACTCTGATAATCACGAAGCATTCTGCCTTCTCTTTTGTCTTGAAGTTTGAGTGAGTGAGAGAAAGTGAAAAAAGAGAGCTTGGGATTTGCTCTTCGAAATATTCTATTTATTCAATTTATTTATTGATTTATTTAAATTTTTTTTGATATCCAGCATAAAATGTGTTGCCAAATTTGAGTCGGAATTTTTGTTATTCCCGCGAGCCTCATTGTGTGTGTGTGTGTGTGACACGTCGTCAAGAAAGTTAAAAACTTTAAAAAAAGTGAATCACAGCCGACGTGGTGTGACACACAGGCCACCTGCTCTACTAACTCGTCTTATCTCACGAGAAAAAATATGAGAAAAACTGGACTAAAATGTAATAAAAAAAAGAGAATAACAAAAAGTTCGACTACAACTTAGGCAACAACGGAGGAGGTCTAGCCTGAGTCTGGACTGGGCAAGACGCCAGGCACAACCAGCGCCCAGCCAGTCCATCCCTAAGCCCACCTTGGCGACCACGGTCATACATTCCGGCTGGGAAAAAAAATCGGGCAAAAAAAAAAATATATATATATATATGGGGCATGATTCGTTCGCTGGCATGTAGTGTCTGTCATTCCGTGCAAGAGTAAAAAATCAACATGCAGTCGCATTATCCACTTACTGGACTAAACTAATGATTAAAGGGACTTGAGAGCGAAAACATTAATGATAATAACAAATTGATTGATGTGCAAGGCAGTTATGGTAACATTATTTAAAGCACAGAAAAAATGAATTAACTATGCAACATGTATGAAGATTATTTAAATCACACTCAAGTGCAGTTAATTAAATAGAGAAGAAAATTATATGTAAAGGGAATCATCACACTTAGAGAGGTTGCCGCCTGCGTCCCGTAAAGGTGTTGGTTGGCTTTAGAAAATATGAAAAGGAACCGCTAGCCTCTAAAAAACCAGGAAGGTTGGGGCATGAGGTAGCTCCTTAAACCATTGGTGCCCGCAGGTGTGCCAATACCACGTGAGGTTTTGGTATGTGTGAGCGCGGGAAGTAATATGTCAACAGCGGGAGGAAATAAGACGGTATCGGGGTTGTGCAGGAGGAGCATTATACCCCAGCAGTAGTAGTAGTAGTAGCAGCGGCAGCAGGAGCAGCAGTAGCCTCAGCAGCAGCAGCAGCAGTAGTGGAGTATTAGTAATGGCCACCCGGAGTACATCAGAGTTGGGCCAAGCAGTAGAGGAAGGACAGGAAAGAGAAAGAAAGGGTGACCGTCGGCAGTCTACCGCACATAGACATTTTCAGCAGAGGCGAGAATGGTTTTATTTTTTTTTAAGGGAGTTCGATAAAAAGTTCCGTTTTCTTTCACTTTAGTTTATTAAAGCAAACTTTACTGTCTGTTTATTTAGACGCAGGAAGTAAAGAACTTGTAAATTACTGCAAGTGAACAAGTCTGATTAATAACAAGACTCATTCAAACGGGTCATTCTTTGAATTAAGGCAGCCTGAAGAATGTCTATGCTTTATTTCTTCATGAAAGTCGCAAAATGTGTGAGTCTACTGATATAAGCTAATGGAGTCCTCGTGATTTATAAAAAGAATGAGTTTGCTAAGTTGACTAAACTAGCCGAGTGTACCTATGAGATGACTCAACATGAAAAGTCAACATGTGCGCTAGTTGTTGCAACAGAAACTTACGGTGCTGCAAAATATTTGTTGCTAGAAAATCACCAAAGCTGCCTACATAGACCCACATACAGTGTGTCGGGCAGTAGTGCCGACCCTTCATGGCTTTACGTCGTCAACAAGAACTGATCACAACAATGAAATTTTGAGTCACACAAATATACACATATATCTGGGGCTATGTAGCAGCACGTGCAAGTATAATTTTCATTTAATTAAAAAAAATGAAGATATGGAGCAAAATCAAGCAATAATATTCACTTTTCTTCAGTGCGAGCCACAGTTGTGAGAACAGAAATGTTAAAAAGAAAAGCGCGCAGTGGAAGCGTTAGTTTTGTCATGCACTCGCTGAACTGATAGCAAAGCTTCACTATCACCTTGTCACTACCTTCCAAATACCCTACTTTAACATGACAGGTTCTTAACCCAGAAATATATGGATGTTGTCTATGCCTTTTGCTTCCTCACTGAGGTCAACAGAAACCAAAATAATAATAATAATAATAATAATAATAATAATAATAATAATAATTAATTATAATAATAATAATAATAATTAATAATAATAATGATAAATATAAAAGACAATTAATGATGATACTAGAGTCACCATGACACCCGGCTTCCAAATACATAATGTCTTACCTTAGCATATAGCATACTCAACTGCTGTGTGCTTTGAGGAGCGAGTAAGAAGCAAGAGGACGCAATAATTACTTAAATGTATGATTATAAAAAAAACTAAGTGATATCTACTTTGAATTCAGAAGAGGAGAGTGTGGGAAGAGAGTGTTTAAGTCTCGGTCCACGGAAAGACAGTGTTCAGAAGACATTTTTTTTTCTCAGTTGACATTTTCCCTAAGAAAGATTAGAAAGATTAAGAGATAGACCGTGGAAGCAGTTGGGATTGCATAATGTGTGTGTGTGTGTGTGTGTGCGTGTGTGTGTGTATGTGAGTGTATTGTTGTCCTCGTGGATGAGGTGTACTCGTGTTCATGTACTCAGGGGGCACACACTGGGGGTGGGGGGGCAGTACTCAACAGTACTTTTGAGTTTTTACATAATAAACACATAAATCAAGTAAATATTAAGTGTTTTACTCTTAGCTGTGGGCGCCCGTGTAGTGGGGGTCATAGTGGGGGTCACTGTGGTGGGGGGTGGGGGTCACTGTGGTGGGGTCACTGTGGTGGGGTCATAGTGGGGGTCACTGTGGTGGGGGTCATAGTGGGGTCACTGTGGGTTCATAGTGGGGTCAGTGGTGGGGTCATAGTGGGGGTCAGTGTGGTGGGGTCATAGTGGGTCATAGTGGGGTCATAATGGGGGTCACTGTGGTGGGGTCATAGTGGGATCAGTGTGGTGGGGTCATAGTGGGGGTCAGTGTGGTGGGGTCATAGTGGGGGTCAGTGTGGTGGGGTCATAGTTTCGGGTCAGTATTGTGGAGGTCAGTAGGGGTCAATGTTGTGGGGGTCATAGTGGGGGGGGGGTCAATGTTGTTGGGATCATAGTGGGGTCAATGTTGTTGGGATCATAGTGGAGTCAGTGTTGTTGGGGTCATAATTCAGGTCAACTAGTGGTGGTATCAATATTGGTCATGTACGCTTCTGGGTGTACATAGTATAGGTTGATAAACACATAAATATTTAGGTTTACACTACGCAAGTGTATGTGTACATCAATGAAACAATGTGTGTGTGTGTGTGTGTGTGTGTGTGTGTGTGTTGGGGTGGGTAAGGGCGCCCACGCCTCACGGGATGTTATTGTTGGTCTGGGGATCTGTGTCATACCGTGTTTGTGGGCATTACTATAGGCGGCACTTCTCCTGGTGTAAGTTGTCCCATCCGAAAATCCACTTGACTGTGCCGCTCCACAGATCCCCAGTAGGGCGAGCTTGGGCGACCTGAGGACGGTAGCCGCAAGTGGGTGTGGCCAGAGAGGCGTGAAGGTGCCAGGTGCTGTGGCTGATGTGACACCACACTCACTTACCAAGTGGATTTTACAGGTATGGGACCATCGTGTCAGGTGTGGGCAGTGTGAGTTGTGAGTGGCGGCTGTGGTAGTGGTGGTAGTGGTGGTAGTGGTGGTGACTGGTGGTGGTGGTGGTGGTTGGTGGAGGGGTGGGGGTTAATAAGTGGTTACATTGGTGGTGGTGGTGGTGGTGGGTGGCCAGGAAGGGGCGGGTTGCAGTTGACTTGGACTTGGTCAAAGCACAAAAAATGATGCTGGGAGTTGCAAACTTGGCTCAGGATCATCCCTTGGTGGACCATCATGTGAGTAGGAGGCGGCGCTCCCCGGCAGGCAGGTCCAACACCTCCTTCCGGGGGCATGAGGCCAGAAAATATCTGACATCTTAATGACACATTACATCATAAAACACAAATATTATTAGTTTGAGAATTTTTCCCCAGTGGGCGGTGTATACAAAGCACCTTCATGAATTGTCGCATGATTCAAGACGTTTGTATACCGGCGGCAGTGGTCTCCGGGTCCCAGTCTTGTGCACAGACAGTCATGCAGGTTGGAGGACCTGGTTCCACCAGCTTACAAGTTTTAGGGCAAGAATACACGAAAACTACATGTGGCGATCAGTCCGCAGGATGCTGAGCCAGTGTGCATGTGAGGGGTCAAGTACAAGACGGACACTGCATGGTCGCCACATAGTATATTATGGTAATATGGTGGGTAAGGCTTAGTACCATGAGCACTTCAGAAACTGAGCTGATACTCAGAATGTGCATCGTAACCCCGACAATCACTGGCTGACCTGTAAAGAAACAACCCATACAAACAACGCTAGAGTTACTAAGGTAAATGCTGTACAAGGGAAAAAAAGATGGTACCCGGAGGAAGACACCTGGCAGATGTGTGTGGCTGGTGGCGCAGGAGTCGACCGGGTCTCGGGCTCCTGCTGCTACAGGTACTCCTGCTGTGGCTTGCCTGCTGGGTCATCTACCCTTCATTAAGTAAACTAAAAGGAATACTCAAGTCCCGGTCAGAGGCCCCTGAGCGACGCCATCCATACACAACATTGAGGACTTCCTGGAGAGTACCATGCTAGAGTACAGAGCGGCTCACTTTTCTGTACGGTAGCGCATTGCAGGCACGCAGGCTCAGTAGGTGGAGGAGATGGAAAAATAAAAAAAGTTCTGAACCCTTAAATGATGTGCAAAAGGAGACGAAGAAATAAAAGAATTACTAGCCAGCAGAGATGAACCAACAATTACTCGTGAACACAGGAATATGATGCTCTACTGTACAGTATATGTTATCCAGAAACTACAAAATGACACTTGTTTCACTCTCTGGGTTATGGGTGGGAGGGTGAGGGGGAGGGAAGTCTTTAAAAAATCACAGAGGGTCCAGACAAGCAAAGAGAATCAGGCAATCAAGCAAAGTAAAAAATTTAAATAATAACAAATATCGTAAAAAAGAGAATTCGATACCAGAATAAAGAGTTTCACCTGTGGGGTCTGAACGGCTAGAAATCAATACCAGAACAAAAACAAAATAGAGTCGACTATGTACAATGATAGGGCACATGTCGTTTCCCTTACCTGTACATTATTACTTCTGTTTTTGAGAGGATTAAAAAAAAATATATATATATATCTCACTAAGGATCGCCAAAAGCATTGTGCAACAAAGGAAGGATTAAACAATGGTGGAGGACAGAGGCAAAAGATGGAAATATAACTGAGGATAAAGGAAGATGAAGAAGAAAAAGAAGAAGAAGAAGAAGAAGAAGAGGAGGAGGAGGAGGAGGAGAATTGAGAGAATGGGGGACAGGTAAAGACCATTAAGGAAATAATGACAGGAGTTTTGAAGGTACAAAGGAAAACAAAATAGAGGGAATAAGGAGAAACAAGAACTAAACAATGGGATAAGCACAGAGAGAGAGAGAGAGAGAGAGAGAGAGAGAGAGAGAGAGAGAGAGAGTGGATCAGGTACAATTAGATTCTGGTTTTGGGACTGAAGAAAAGGAGAAAGAAAGAGAAAAAGAGAGAATGCGAGAAATATAAAGACAACAGGAGAAAGACAGACATAGAGACAGAAAGAATCATAGGAGTTAGTGATTAGCTCATAACAAGGTAGACAAATAGGTTAATATTTATATTTTTATTCAGTGAGAAGATAGTGTGTGAGAAGGTGGTGTATGAGGAAGACACAGTGATGAGAGTTAGTGTTAAGAAAATTTTGGTTAACAGAAGGAAGAAGAAAGAGAAGGAAGTGAAAAATAAACATAAAGAGGAGGAAGGAAGGAAGGAAGGAAGGAAGGAAGGAAGGAAGGAAGGAAGGAAGGGAGAAGGAGGTGAAGTGAGGAGCGAGGCTGAATCCTGTTCTAGTAGGGGATGCAATGTGGGAGTGGAGGTGGTGTAGGGTGTGAGCTCAGGTGTAGTGGGTGAGCTCAGGTGTGGGGAGTGAGCTGAGGTGTATGAGTGAGGTTAGATCAGTTTTGGTCTGCGTGCTTGCAATCTACATCATTATATTTTTGTTTGTTTGATATACTGAGAGGACTAAGTAGCGCCGCTTCCCAGAGATGAGTAAAATCTCTTACCAATCATCTTTTGAATCTGACTGAAAGAACACATAACACACGGAGATATATTGTAGCACAGCTGTTGGAAAAGGAATTGACATTAAAGATTTTATTTGGTGATATGATATTATTGGTATTGTATTATTTTGTATTCCTTTGTGGTATGCCTTCTGTACAGCGGCTACCACAGGTCAAGCGAACCGTCTCTGTACTTTCTGTCCATAAGAAATAACAGAAACATCCAGGCTTAATGAATTTTTATGGTGGCTATATTGATATGGCTAAAATATCATAGTTATCAATGGCTAGATATAAAAACTAGTGCTACATGGCTAAGTCTGATGGCTGGAATAGTCTTTGGAAAACACATTAATGGTAAATATTGATTTCTTGACAACATTGAGGTAAATAGGTTTATCATAATATTTCTAAACAAACTGCTAAGACTCACACATGCCTGAGATGTTTCTGCATTACATGAACAATCTCAATTAGTCTGGATTCAAAGTCAGTACAAAATATTCCTCTCATGCAGCTAAATGATGGCAACTCCTTTGAATCCAGACTTTAGGACCGAAGTCGACGTCTGGCATTTGTCAAGAAGTAGCTGGGCGGCCCCACAGGACAAACGTTGCAACCCCCTTCAGGTCCTCGTGGGTCGGCCAGCGAGCGGAACTAGGCCGGACATATCTGGAAAGGGTCATCCAGGGCCGAGGGGGGGCTGTGTCGCGCCGCCGTCCTCTCGGAACGCACTGTGATCACCCCTTCGGAGGCTGACAAGTCGTATTTTTTATGGTCTCTGGGTCTCCTGGATGGTGTTTCAGCCTTTGTCGGCTAGGAAAGCCACCCAGGAACACAGCAGACTCCAACAAGTGCGAATAAAAACAGCACAACAGTGACTAACACTTCAGCCTCGACTTGGGTTACCTTTATATACAAATGAACATTGAATAAATAAAACAAGTGCAGATAACCTGAGCCGAGGATCACTTGCAGGGGGATGCCCTTCAAGGAAGAGAAGGAGGAGGCATCCCCGCGCAAGGTAATTAAGACCAAACTTGCGGCCACTGTACCAGACCTTTCCGCTCAGCTGGTCCAACCCACGCCTTAACACTAATGCCTTACTAGTGGTACTTAGGAGCGCGACAACGAGGAGCACATGTATGTACCATTTGAACTTCAGAGAGCGAGCTAATACTGAGAATATGCATCGTAATACCGACGTCCACGTGCGACTCTGCAAAGACAGATAGCATCGTCCCGGCTTCAGCGACAAAAAGCCAACACACGACATACATTTCATAATGGTTACAGTGGAACGTTCTCCTTTAGCAATTATCTGGGAAAAAAAATAAAAAAATAAAAAAAAATCTCCAGGGCCAGGTAGTGATAGTGTGTGGGGGCTGAGGAGTGTTTACTAGACTTTGTTGACATTTGATTCTGTGTTCAGGACGAGCCAGCGTGAATGTGTTAACACCAGATAATGAAGCCGTATTCCAGGTATTCTTAAAATATTATGCTACTTTATGTATTTCTTTAATGCATTTATGAAATTCTTATGTAATCCTGCGCCTGAAGTCTACAACAGCCGTACTTACACTGAAGCTACGAGCCAGTCTGAGGTGTATCGTTTTTTTCTTCACATATTTAAATTATTTGTATTAACTTTAAGTCAAGTAACTGACAGTAGAACCTGATGAAGACGTGTACCTGACATATATTACCCAGGAGCACCAGGAGTACCTGCTTCGTGCGCCTAATAACGTCCCTCAGCAGGAGTTAACTTTGAGAAGTATTGTTACCTGAACGAGAAGTATTGTTACCTGAACGAGAAGTATTGTTTGCCTGAGCGAGAAGTATTGTTTGCCTGAGCGAGAAGTATTGTCTACCTGAGCGAGAAGTATTGTTTGCCTGAGCGAGAAGTATTGTCTACCTGAGTGAGAGGTATTGTTTACCTGTGCGAGAAGTATTGTTTGCCTGAGCGAGATGATCATAAACAGAGCATGTTAGTTGTGTGTTACTCGTTAAGACAGTAAGCCGCTGAAGAGTCTCCGGCGTAGATATACAGTTGTGCGTAAGACGGTCGAGTGGATACAACAATTGTCTTATAACTTAAGGCCCATTGGGTTACTCTCAGTCGACCCAGTTGTGGATGCGTACCTAACTTTAGTTGGGAAAGTGAAGGCGTTTGAGTGAAATATCTGTCACGCTGTCTGCTTGTGTACCGAAGGTTTAATATTCAGTGTACTGTATCCACACTGTACCTAATGGTCCTTCAGGCCTCTGGGACCTACTTCTATGTAAAAACTTCCTTAATCCTACTGCCCTCGAGTCCCAATTAACGATCCTGCAACCATAAATACCACCCTGGTGATCATCGGTAGCCTGTCTGCCCCACGAGTGTCTAGGACCTACACCAGGTCGCCCTCCCACCCATCCTACACCAGCAGGTCGTCCTCCCACCCATCCTACACCAGCAGGTCGTCCTCCCACCCATCCTACACCAGCAGGTCGTCCTCCCACCAGCATCGACCTCCCACCCATCCCACACCAGCAGGTCGTCCTCCCACCCATCCTACACCAGCAGGTCGTCCTCCCACCCATCCTACACCAGCAGGTCGTCCTCCCATCCATCCTACACCAGCAGTCGTCCTCCCACCCATCCCTACACCAGCAGAGTCGTCCCCATCCATCCTACACCGCAGGTCGTCCTCCCACCCATCCTACACCAACAGGTCGTCCCCTCCCATCCATCCCACACCAGCAGGTCGTCCTCCCATCCATCCCACACCAGCAGTCGTCCTCCCACCATCCACACCCAGCAGGTCGTCCTCCCACCCATCACACCCAGGTCGTCCTCCACCCATCCTACACCAGGTCGTCCTCCCACCCATCCACCAGCAGGTCGTCCTCCCATCCATCGTACACCAGGTCGTCCTTCCACCCATCCCACACCAGCAGGTCGTCCTCACACCCATCCTACACCAAGTCGTCCTCCCATCCATCCTACACCAGCAGGTCGTCCTCCCACCCATCCCTACACCAAGTCGTCCTCCCATCCATCCTACACCAGGTCGTCCCTCCCACCCATCCCTACACCAGCAGGTCGTCCTCCCATCCATCCTAAACCAGCAGGTCGTTCTCCCACCCATCCACACCAGCAGGTCGTCCTCCCACCCACAACAGGTCCGTCCTCCCACCCATCCTACACCAGCAGGTCGTCCTCCCATCCATCCCAAACCAGCAGGTCGTTCTCCCACCCATCCCCTACACCAGCAGGTCGTCCTCCCATCCATCCTAAACCAGCAGGTCGTTCTCCCACCATCCTACACCAGCAGGTCGTCCTCCCATCCATCCTAAACCAGCAGGTCGTTCTCCCACCCATCCTACACCAGGTCGTCCTCCCATTCATCCTAAACCCAGCAAGTCGTCCTCCCACCCATCCTACACCAGCAGGTCGTCTTCCCATCCATCCCTACACCAGGTCGTCCTCCCATTCATCCTAAACCAGCAAGTCATCCTCCCACCTATCCTACACCCAGCAGTGTCGTCCTCCCATCCATCCTACACCAGGTCGTCCTCCCACCATCCCACACCCAGCAGGTCGTCTTCCCACCCATCCTACACCAGAAGGTCGTCTCCCACTCATCCTAAACCAGCAGGTCGTCCTCCCACCCATCCCTACACCAGCAGGTAGTCCTCCCACCCATCCACACCAGCAGGTCGTCCTCCCACCCATCCTACACCAGCAGGTAGCAGGTGTCCTCCACCATCCCACCGCAGTCGTCCTCCCACCAGCAGGTCGTCCTCCCACCATCCCAACCAGCAGGTCGTCCTCCCACCCATCCTACACCAGCAGGTTGTCGTCCCACCCATCCCACACCAGCAGGTCGTCTCCCACCCATACACCAGCAGGTAGTCCTCCACCCATCCCACACCAGCAGGTCGTCCTCCCACCCATCCTCACCAGCAGTCGTCCTCCCACCCATCCCAACCAGCAGGTAGTCCCCACCCATCCTACACAGCAGGTCGTCCTCCCACCCATCCTACACCAGCAGGTAGTCCTCCAACCCATCCTACACCAGCAGGTCGTCTTCCCACCCATCCTACACCAGCAGGTCGTCCTCCTACCCGATCTACGTCACCGGCAGGACCTACAATCAACCTCTTGGGTCATCAGCTATCATTAGGAGTCGTGACCTCAACACTGTAGTGCCCATACAACCACTAAGATAATATTTAACCTTCCTTCCTTCCTTCCTTCCTTCCTTCCTTCGTCAAGGTCCCGTGATCACCCTCTTAGAGTCTTAAGGACCGTCAAGAGATCCTACACTCAGCTTCCTTAATTCCTTTGTATCATCACAAGGTCTACCTGTCCATAACTCCAACCTCCTAAAAGTCCTTATAGCTGCACAACCCCCTCTCTCTCTCTCTCCCTCTCTCTCCCTCCTCTCTCTCTCGTTATATATATATGCATAATCTTTACATATCATTAAGAGGTCCCTCACCTAGCGTACCATTAAGGGCACTGAAAGAAGCGGTGGTGCCTCAGTAATGAACTCACTCACATACGACACAAGACGAGGCCCCGCTAGTAGGGAGATCACTACAATTACTTGCGCCTTAAACAGAGCTTCAGGGGGAGCCGCGTCACACAACCTTCCCTGCTCCTCTACGCCATTACAAAGACCCTAAGAAGATGAGTTCTCTTTTATAGGCTCCCGTTGGCGTTCGGTAGCATAAAGCACCCCTGAGTCTTTTATCTCAATTTATCTTTCTTTAGAATTATATTTTGATACTGTTATAAAATATCTATAGTATTTTTTATATATAAAGTTACGCCGTTATAAATTCTATGTAATATCAATTTTAAGTTCTGCGCCATTGTATATCTCTATGACACTTCAACAGCTATACGCCATAATAAATAAACACACATAAAATTTACTCTAATTCTCAAGCTATCAGACTTCCTAGAAAAAACTCAGTCAAGATTATTGCAAACTTCTGCGCCATTATTCTAATTATACTCCATTAGGATTATTGGATAAAAGTTACTTCAGGACCTAAACCTTAGCTAAAACACCGGTAATTATACGCCATTAATGAGTTCCTGGGATCCATTATAAAGCTTCACGGATCAATTATATTTTAACGGATCGATTATAGAAGTTTAATGGATCAATTATAGTTTAACGGATCGATTATACAAGTTTAACGGATCAAATATATTTTAACGGCTCAATTCTAGTTTAACGAGTCGATTATAGAAGTTTAAGTTCAACGGATCAATTATAGTTTAACGGATCGATTATATAAGTTTAAGTTCAACGGATCAATTATAGTTTAACGGATCGATTATACAAGTTTAACGGATTAATTATAGTCTCCTGGCTCGATTATAATCTCTTGGATCAATTATATTATAGAGTCTCATAAGTGTGATGCTGATTACAGTGTGACCTTGATTATAATAAGTGTGACGTTGATATTGGCTCCTGGATCAAGTGTGACGTTGGTACTGGCTCCTGTGACGGTAATATTAGTTCCTGGTTCAAGTGTGACGTTGTTGCAGACTGCTGGTTCAAGAATCAAAAGTAAAGTGTGACGCTGTAATAGGCTCATGCAAAGGGTGGGTAGCTCCTCACCACCTCAAGAGTCACACTCCTCCCTGCCACTTCGTCAAGGAGAAGCAACATACAGTACACTGGCTCTGCTCAGGGACGTTCCACTGTTTTAGAAGGAAATATTGATAGGTACTGAAGAGCGCTGTGGCATAGGTTGGTAGTGATGGTGGTGATGATGGTGGTGGTGGTGGTGGTGGTGGTGGTGATGGTGGTGATGGCGTTGATGGTGGTGGTGGTGGTGGTGGTGATGGTGTTGATGGTGGTGTTGATGGTGGTGATGGTGGTGGTGGTGGTGGTGATGGTGGTGGGGTGGTGGTGGTGGTGGTGGTGTAGATGGTGGTGGTGATGGTGGTGGTGGTTATGGTAGTGGTGATGGTGGTGGTGGTGGTGGTAGTGAAGTGGTTGTGGTGGTGGTGGTGATGGTGGTGGTGGTGGTGGTGGTGATGGTGGTGGTGGTGGTGATGGCGGTGATGGTGGTGGTAGTGGTGATGGTGGTGGTGGTAGTGAGAGTGGTGGTGATGATGGTGGTGATGTTGGTAATGGTGGTGATGGTGGTGATGGAGATGGTGATGGTGATGGTGGTGGTGGTGGTTATGGTGGTGGTGGTGGT